AATAATTAAATCCGTCGGAAATCCGTCGGTTTTGAACACTGTCGGAAAGCCGTCGGAATTTATGTCCGTCGGAAATCCGTCGGGTAATTGGTCGTCGGAAATCCGTCGGGTAACAGAGTTATCGGAAATCCGTCGGTTTCTGACACCGTCGGGAATCCGTCGGAATATATATGTCCGTCGTAAATCCGTCGGTTAAAAACCCGTCGGAAATCCGTCGGGTAACTCAGTCGTCGGAAATCCGTCGGGTACCTCAGTCGTCGGAAATCCGTTAGTATTTCCGACGGAATTCCGACGGAATTTTTATTTTCGACGAGATAGAACCGACGGACCGTAACCGTCGGACAGCCGTCGAAAGAGGGCTATTTCCGACGGATTTCCGACGGATTTGGCCGTCGGAAACAGCCCTGTTTTCTTGTAGTGCAATCCCTTTTTTTTTTGTCCCTCCAACAATGGAGCTCAATCTAGACCACTTGGAATGTCTAAATCATGCACATACACGTAGGGATTATATCAAGCATGTAATTTTGTTTTTAGACGTTTAATAGTTAAAACACCATTCAGTATATATAATTTGCTTAATATATGATCTTGAATAAAATCTTGTTTTGTGTTGTATTGATCCTATATCAAATCGGAAATAGAAGAAAAGTCATTAAGATTGTTTCTAGTTTTGTTTGTTTTGTTCTTTTGGAAAATCTCTCTTTTGGTAGTTGAAAAGCTAGTGTTGGACTACATAAAACACTATGGTCGATGGACTAACAACGTGTGGAATTTCAACACACATTCGGGTGCTATTATTAACAATCCCAATTTATCAGTCAAAAACACCCTTAAAAACAAAACCAAAAACAAATCTAAAAAATCACATGATCGAGAACTAAAATTCTCTCAAATTAAACTATATAAAATCCATCCATCATTGCCTCACTATAGCAGAATAGAAAAAAAAAATTGGAACCACAGTCACATCCATCAAAGGTAAGCACGGATTTGAACCATTCTATATAACTTTTAAGCTTTTTTACACCTTGTCTCTGAAACGAGATCTCTGCACACCAAATATCCGTTTCACACTCCTTAGTATAATGGCATCCTCGACCTTGAGATTTCTCCGTCTTCCACCAAACTGTCACTCTTCTTCTACCCGAGTTTGTCACCGAAACAAGATAAGTAGTAGAATTTGGCTTAGGGGACAGTTTTTCAAGTCCCTTAACACTCCACCACGCCAAATGTAGATTTGCATCACGCCAAAGTAGTTCAGTATCGGAAATATATATTTCGCACCACACGTTGGTCTCTATCTCTACCAAGCAAATATACGTCTTCAAGGTAGGCTTCAAGCCATTCATCCAATAAACTTTACCACCCATTACCAATCTACCTGGAACCAAACTCTTTTGAGTGGTGAGATCTAGTGTTGTCGGCGATAATGGCTCCCAAGTTTGAGTCTTTGGTTCATAAACCTCACCCCAAAGCTCAATGTTATCGTGCTCTTTGTAGTAGTCTCCAATCACATAGATCTTACCGTCAATTACTTCCGCGGCTGGTCTATCTCGAGGTACCATCATGTCAGGGAGGCTACACCATTGATGAGAATGACAATCGAGGACCAACACTCTTGTGTTTCTCTTTTCATTTAGAAATCCGCCGATTAGATACATCTCTGAACCCATTGAGACAATGGTTGAGGACTCTGGATGTTGATAAGAAAACGAATCATGGATTGGAAGCAGTTTCTGTCCTTTGGGAATTGGTGCAAGTGTGAACCATCGAGGATTAGACTTTCTTATTCAGGTCTAAGCAGACATAAAGGCAATCCTCGGTTTTTCCGATGAGTGATCGTGTTTCGTAGAGTTCACGCGAAGCCATAATTGATCGGAAACTCTTGGATGATGGCTTCTCGAGATACGAGCCAAACAGTTGAGAACGACCTCGTTTGGTAACGAAGAAAAAGACGTCGGAGGAGCAATCGTGGTCGGAGACTCTGATGATTTCTTCATGTTTTTCATGTTCATGTCTGCTGATGATCTGAGTTCTTCTAGGTTGAGTTAGGGTTTTGTCCTTATACAAAGAAAAAGAGATTTGATTAGGGGTGCCCAAACTATCCGAAACCGAAATCTGAAT